TTGCGCGAATTGCGCGTTCTACTTCTGTACGAATATTAATTCCAATGGTCTGATGCTTCCGACGGGTTCCTCCGCATATAAATCTTATCACATCAATGACAGACGCTTCGAGGCATACTCGACTCACTTTCATGGAACAGTGATGAAAATTTTATAAATGGTGTATCATTAGGCAAAATCTTGATTCATAAGGACTGAGCATGGATTACTTAAACTTTTATGAAACTCTGAAAACAGCTGCTTTCCAAACATCAACTAACTACAGTCAGTCGGTGTTGCATAAACGGTATGTGGATAATGAAATTGCCATTTGGAAAAGTGACGCTCGTCCCTGTATGACAATGTGAACAGTCTCTTTCCAGGCGACCTCAGGTTCACCACGTAAACTAACCGAAACGGCGATTTGCCTAGTTTAGACACCGGCTACGCGGAAGAGTCGAAAGAACTGTCCACAAACCGAAGAAGAATAACCACTTCATATGAGTTAGATCAAATTATTCGCCGGATTAATGAAAGTCATCGCTAAAACTCATGCCAGCAGATGTCAAACATTGAGTTCAGTACTGATGGACATGCATTCAGAAAACAAATGAATTTCTTCGGCAAGTATGAAGCATTACGAAACAATGGCAATCTGAAAAGCCTCGCAAAAATGCCACTCATCAAAAAATGAACTCTGCTCCCATGAACCTGATACTCGATGTAGAAGCGGAAGGGAAGAAATGTGCAGAAATACATTTACTCAAATTGAAAACCGATCATTTGTTTATCCACTTCAGGGATAAATGGAAACAACAACAACAACAATTTCCGCCAATGATGTTGGAGTACTTCACCTTATTCAAATCGCTACTCTGCTGAAAATACCGCTTGTTTCACAAACAACAGATGGCCACAGCAGCGCAAAGAAAAAGAGTAAAGACAAGGACAACAACGAAGAGAGACATCAGCCATCGCCAAAGAAGGCTGACTGGAGCTTCTGCACGAATGGCACGAATAGAGTGCCATTAACGTGTCAGAGGAAAGACCGCGTTTGAAGCAGTGCAATTTTTTGAGTACAAAACAACATACGCGAATGCCACGTCTGTTCGACGTCGGTCGCGCTTACCATTGACAAACCTTCATGCCAGAATGCCATTTTGTACTCCTCGACGAACTTTCTCTGAGGCACATGCAACTGTAAAGACGGAATGACGTTCTCGAAAAGCAGTCGATGCGTCGACTGCCGTCTCGCCGCAAGTATCAGGCGGGGTCAGGCAGGCCGAGGCAAGATTCAAGATTTACCTCATGGTCGACGGACAACAAGCAGAAACTACGTTCAAACACAAACGAAGGTTTCGCTGCAGCTCGGTGCCGTTAGACACCGAAGAGACAAACGACACACGACAGCAAACGCCCTGCCTGCCACAGCGGCGTAGATGACAATCGATGATTTAACGCCAAGCAAACAAATACATGCACCACGGATTTTGCGACCAAATTGAATAATTTATAATTACTTGCCAAGTGACACCGTAGGGACAACGATAACCGAGAAACGATAACTAAATTTATGAATCATTAGCGACGCGTTTGCTATTCAGGTATCAGCTAAGGTAGCCAAAACACGTCCACACAAGCGTTCAGAAAAGTTTCACCTCAAAAACTGCGAGAGGGTATGCGATAGTCCTACACAGAAGTTCGAAGACGGATTGACGAAAATGATTTACGGCTCGAATCAATACTTCAGACTAAACACATGTACCATAAATGGTTAATGATATGGTGAGAGAAGAGCTAGAGGTAAAATTATACCTGGAAGGGAAGGCCTATTATTAATTCACTGAATAACATCAGCATGCCATCAACGTGCCTTCTGGCAGCTGGGGACATAGCAGGAGGCAACGGCAGATACGAGTCAACAACGGAGCTGCTACTCGTTCTGAACAGAGGCGACAGGAAACCCAATGCATTTATAGTACATCAGAGAAGGTTCAATGGGAACAACACCGAGAGTGGTAGTATTAGTCAGAAATTTAAGTATTTCCTCACTCATAGGGAAACATCAAGAGCTAAGGACTGAACATATTCAGACATGCGTTACTGAAAGGCCAAGACCCTGAAATTCTTAACCTATGCGTATGGATGCAATTCTACACAAGTGTCAACTCCACGGACGCGTGACTGCATTCTGACCTATCTCCTGTTTCTGTTGTACATGGATAGGATATTCAGGCGTAACCAGGTGATGCGTGCATTACAGTAAGGAATGTGAAGACAATAAAGCACTTTTGGCAGACGTCTTCCGAAACTGGGCTTCAGCGAGTTTTATTTTAGTTTAGTAAATAAGCTTTTTTCTTTCCCCAGGGAGGTCCAGCCTTAGCATCTTACTCCAGCATTAAAACTGCTTCCGTTGGTAGTCGGTTGTCCATCACCTGAAAGGTCATAAACATAAATCACCAGAATGAACCTCCTGTATTTCAGCGGCAGGTAAAAACAGATTGCTCCAATAGAACAAAAGTAAATTCTTCAGTGCTTTTATGACGTCACCTAACAAGTTTAATGCTGTATTGAACATTGCCTCATACAAATCTGAAAAACGATATTCCTTTTTAATCGAATTCATTTAATGACAGTATCGAGGTTTTAGAGAGCCCATGGTGTGTCTTCTTTTGACACTAGACCACAAAGCATGCTACATCAAACTGTTGTCGTTACTCTTCTACTTGTGAGCTAGAAGTTCGGTTAATCGTTATTCTACAGTTTGTACTCATTCACTGCT